AAAGGCTGTGCTGATCACTTTTCCTTCCCTTTAAGATCTCAGAACTGCTTATAAAATAAAATAATTCCTAGGACACAAGCATGGGTTGAGTCCATAAACTGGGGGCAAGGTGTGTGTGTTTGTGTTTGATTCGGAAAAGAGCCTCATACCAAACTTTAATGTGGCCAGTACACACCACTGTAGCCCTCCCTGAGAACAGAGCTTTTCAGGGCTGCCCAAAAGTGGTGTTACCTGCTCCAGATGAGTTTTTGTGACCTTTCTCTGAGAAAGGGTCATTGGTAGAAAGATGGCTCTGTTGCTTGAAGGAGAACATGTGTGTTATCCATGACACACATGAACTACACTTGCAGTCGGGACATGGGGCTCCATGTCCTTTTAAGACACCAAGATCTCAGAAGTTAGGGATGAAAAGATAAAATAAATTTACTTAGCAATTGAGATTCTAGTGAATTCAGTGTGTTGTTCAAGTTGAAGGACCAACTGAGATTCTAGTGGATTCGGTGTGTTCAAGTTGAAGGACCAACTGAATAGTCCATTCAGGTTTATCCCCATAGGATATGCAGGAAATCCGGACAAAAAGACAAAAGCAGAAACCTCAAACATCCAAACTGTTTTTTAAGAAGTGTGTGCACAAGGTGCTGCATTATATGTAGAAGCCATAAATTGGTTCAGGGCTGATGCAGACAGTACCACTCTCAAACCAGGGCTTGTTTCTTCATGTGGAAATATTTTTGCCCCACTGACCACTGCATGTTCCATGAATAATCCAAATAACACAATGTAGGTGTTTTTAATAATGGGTAAAGTAAAATATTGTTTCCATCATTCAGCCTGAGAAAACTGGTAAATATCCAAATTAGGCAAACATTATATTATAATCTAATTATCAAATTACTTCTATTTGCTTTTGTTCTTTTAAAATATTGTATCACTTTAATATTAATATTGTATCAATTTAATATTTATATTGTATCACCCTTTAATTTATGCAATACTGACATACTTATCAAAAAATTGTGAAGCAATACTGTAATATATTCTGGGGAAAATCCATCTGCACTGTCTCTTTCAAGTTGAAGCTATTTCACATATGCCTCACAGATATCTTCAAGATAGTACATCTCCAAAAATAATTTTCCAGACTTGCAATGATATGTGCCATAATTTGAACTACTGAGGTCTAACTCCTGATGTTGTCAATTCCGGTCTAAAACTGACATTAGCAAATTCCTGGGAACTACACTTAGGGGTAGTTTGGACTTCCCTGTTTATGAGTAGGCATTCTTTGATTCTGGCCAGCTTTTAAGTCTGAACCTCCTGGTTTTGTTCCTAGGTTTAACAAGGATATCGAGTTCATGATTGGACACAAGCCCAACATTTTCTGGCAGGTTACCTGGAGACTCATCAGTCCTCTCATTATGTTAGTTATCTTTTTCTTTTATTTTGTGGTGAAAGTCAACCAAGAACTGCTCTACAGTGTTTGGGACCCTAGCTATGTAAGTGTGTAAACCAAAATATTTATTTATAATTATTTTAAGTATTCTTCATTAATGTAAGAGTCATTGTCAGTTATATTCATCTTCCATCTGAAACAGTTTTCTAGCAAATTTGCCACAAGATATGGAAATGGGACTGCTTTCTTTTCTCGTCTTTTGCAACCTCACTTCCCTGTAATGTTTCAGTCCACCTTTACTCTGTGATTTCAGCCTTCCCACAAAAAGGTTGATTGGCCATATGCCCTGGTGGCCTGTCAGGCCCCCTATGCCCACATTCCTTTGTGCCAAAGAAGTGTTCCAGTCCCCCAGTCTCCCTTCCTGGCTCTTACTGTTTCATGCCATTTTCTTTACATCATTTTAATATAAAAATAAGTCAAAACCAGCTGAGGTTGGAAACCCTTGAGCTGAAATCTGCTGTGGAATTGGCAAACTGTTGTGCCATTATGGCCAGCCAGCGTTCTGATCACATTTTTGATCTGTTGAATTACTGAATGTGTGCATGGTCCAGGTAATTGCTCCTCGTGACTTTCTACAACTTGGTTGTTTGCTCTTTCAGGAGGGGTTCCCCAAAACAGAGAAGGTTGAATATCCCCCCTGGGTGTATGCTATCATTGTAATCCTCGCTGGAGTGCCCAGTTTGACCATCCCGACCTTTGCCATCTACAAAGCCATCAGGAACCACTGTCAGAAAAAAAATGATCGTGCTGGCCTTATTGCTACATCTGAGACTTCCATTAATGGAAACTTAAAACATTTATCATAAAACCATTTTTTTTTTCAAGTGTGGAAGGATGTTTTGTCAGTGAGGAAAGTAAAAAAAAAATATTTTTTATGAATCCAGAGTTAATTTTATTTTCATGAAAGGATAACCATGTGTTGTTTCCAGGTAAACATTTGCATAACAATGCAATGCACTGTGAAGAGTTGATGGCCTGGCTTCTGGAAGCAAAAAAGTGACATTTGCAAGTGATTAGGGTACCAGGCCAAATAATTTGTCCTCTTTCGGGTTCTGAAGCCAGCTTGTTTGAAACTGGCTTCTATCCCCTCTGCTTGGGGATGCACTGTGCATGAAGTGACTCTTACATGTGTAATCATTCTGGTTGGGTGGCCAATATGAAGGGTAACTTAATGCTATCCTCTCTTGCATATTAAATTGTTTTTACTTTACATGCCACTGTGTTGCACAAAGCCACTAATATTATTTGTCTCATAGAGAAGTTTAAAATATTTAATAAAAAATATTTCTAAGTATGAGAATGACAGCTTGATTAATTTAGAATTCTATATATTTTATAAATTGTGTATAACTTCCAAGATCCTGCTTTTGCTGATGACAGCAGAGGAAGTCTTGCAATGGGGCAGCAGCAGTTCAGGAAAGAGCAAAATCTGCCTTCTGTGGCACCCATGAGCAAGGGGTGCACTGCTTGCCTGGGGGATCTGTGCTGATGGCACATCCAAGGCACAGCAAGGTGCAAATCTTGCTCTTCTCTGTTGCCATCCAGGTAGGTGTTCATCTACACACACACACAAACACACACACACACACCATACAACTATTTGAATTTTTTTTAACTTCCTTGTGACCCAGTGGAGCTCAGTGAGGAGTCCCATTCTCATGTGGCCATCGGAAAGGGGCACTATTAGAGCACCCAGGCAGAGTGCCTGGAGCAGACAGTGTCCATGTCCCCTCTGGATGGCTGACCCTTTTCATCCAACTGTGTATATGGACAGTGATACTCTTGTATCACCTCGCAGCAATTCCTACACCCACCTTTTGAAATAAGAATGGATCCAATTTAGATCCTCATACTGCTTGTAATTAAAACACTCTCTTAAAAGGAATAGGTACACTTAGGGCATATTTACTCCAGAATATATCTTTAGAGTATCTCCTCTAAATTGAGAGTAAAGTGCCAGACATTGCATGGAATCATAGAATCAATGTTTGGGTTGGAAAAGAACTTGAAGATATCCAGTTCTAAACCCCCTGTCATGGGCAGAGACACTTTCCACTTGGCCAGGTTTCTCCAAGCTCCATCCAACCTGGACATGAAGACTTGAAGGGATCAGGCATCCACAGCTTCTCTGGGCAACCCATTCCAGAGAATCTAAATGATTAAATTATTATACATTTAATTTTCAATTTTTAAAAATTACAATAATGTAAGTAACTATTTAAACTATTTGAAGATGTTACTCTTTAATGGGAAGAATATTTTTTTATTTTGCTGATAAAAAGCTCAGCCACCAGGAACAAGTAAAACCATGTTTGAAGTGGCTGGCTGCAGTGCCAGGTGTGGAATTCAGGGTGTTGCTGGAAAGGTCCAAGCCCAGGCCAAGGCATTTCCTGATCAGAAGAGCAGCAGGGGATGGAGTGATGGTGCTGTGTGCCCTGGGACCATTGACTTTGTGCAAGGGCTGCCAAACCTCCCTGTGTGTCCAGCTCGTGTGTGCCCTCTGAGGCAACCCCAGCAAGACACTGGGAAGTTGAGTTGCTCCATCTGTGAGTCTGGATATTTGCAGAGGTGTAAGCAGATGAGCTGTGACAGTCTAGGGAGAATCATGTAGCCTTGATCTGAAACTGGCTTCTGGTTGGATGATCTGCAACCTGATCGCATTTGTGTGGTTAGCTGCAGAGCAGGGCTTTTATTTTGAGCAAAACAACTCACCTTCACTCAGAAACTCTTCCCATTTAGAGAGCGGAATCCAGGCATAAACTGTTGATTTACTGAGGCAAGCAAGCTGACTGGCTGCTCTGTTTAGTGTGAACTGATTTGGCATGCACACCAGCAAAACCCTGGTATGATTGAAAGAAAACAGAAAAATATTCTCACATACTTTCAATTGAAGGAAAGCATTCGAATCTTGCATTCATCAGTAACTATTTAATGAATAATAAAAATAGTGGCTGGGGATTCATTGACAGGTGGAAAGTGATTAACTTTTAGCAACTATTGTGAAAATGGACCAAATTCTAATGTCTGAACATACAAGATCTATTTTTTCTTGGCTTTTTTTTTTCTAACTGACTTTTTGTATTTGGAAAAGATGCCTTCATTTGTTTACTTTTATTAATAAACTAAGAAAGGAAATGCCAATGTTTTATTCACAGATTTTTACAGGTATTTTGCAATTTTAATTAGTCCACTGCAAAGGTTTCTTTTTAATTATATTCAGTGTCACACTTGTCTGACAGAGTCTGAGAACATAAGGAGAACAGAAAATAAAAATCTGTTTGATCCTGAGTTACCCATTAACAACATATTCCCAAGCTGTCTAACTATAGGAGGAGCTGCAAAAAAAGCAAGAGTGGTAACTCTCTATATAATAATAATTCCTGGTTTTGTCTTTAAACTGCAGCCTTGGCAATGATACAGCCCTTTGCATCAGATAAAAAGAAAGCTCCACCTCTCTTCCAAGATCTTTCTGTCACCCTGCATAAAACTTGTAGGAGAGACGGGTTTCGAAGCATCTTCCCATTTTTAGGGAAACGGGCTAAGGAGCCACGGATATTCCATTAAAATGTCACAAGATTTATCAGCAACACCAGAAACCCCTAAAGAAGATGGCAGACCCAAGTGGGACAATAAATTCCAGTATATTTTAAGCTGTATCGGATTTGCCGTTGGCCTGGGGAACGTGTGGCGATTTCCATACTTGTGTCAGATACATGGAGGCGGTAAGATTGGAATGGGCTTTGCCAAAATACTGAACTGCAATTCTCATGCAACTATAGTATCTTCTGATGGGCATGGAAATTACTTAATTTATATCAATTATATCCCTTTTTAAAAAACACTGATTGTCATTAATGTTTTGCTCCAGTTAATTAGCTCTTTCCATAGAAATATATTTAATTATATAATGATATGTTCAGTTAGGAAGACCAGACTGATGCTGACCTAACTGATGATAGAACAAATCTATGTTGAAGTTTTTATGCCAGTACTACAGCCCCAGTGGAAGCAGGAAACTGAACCTGCAGCTGGCTACCTTAAGGAGAAATGAAAAGCCCTGGGGAGGCCTGAGGGAACTGAACTTCCCTTTGGGATGGTGAGTGAGTCATTCCCCACTCATGCTCTTAGAAGCTACCTCATCATCTGGAATTGCCCCTGCACAAAACTAAATTGTGCTTTTTCTTGTCTGTGAGGCTGTTTAAAATGCTCAGCTGATGGAGCAGCAACAGGAGCCTGCCAGGTGTCATGTGTCTGGGTACCAGTCCCACAAAGAATTTCTTTAGAAGCAGACAATTTGGTAAATATAAATGGATTTGAAAAGAGTACTTGGTAGCTCACTGATCACAGAAGCTTTTGAACTCTTCCACAGTAAGCTGTCTGAAGAAGAATGAGCAAATTGTTTCAGACCAGTATTATTTGTTATTTTTCAATTGATTGGAGAAATTGAAAATTCACACCTGGAGAAACTGTCAAGTGACAGAAAACATCACCACATCCAAGTGCATTTTACTGAGGCGTCTGTATCATTTGATGAACTAAATATATTTAAATCAACCAAGGAACCAAGAATGGATGTAGCCTGCAAAGGAAGGCATTTCAGAGAGAAAGTAGCCACTCAGATAGGGACTATGGTAAGTAGCTCAATGAATGAGCTACAGCAGGTTGCATCAAGAGAAAGAACCTTGGCAGATATAAGCAGAACACTAGGAAGTAGGTAGAGATATTGCTGCCTATAGTAAGACAACTTCTGAGTCTCTGACTTTTTCCAAAAAGTCAACTTTAAAAATTAGACAAGATTTTTAAAGACAAAATGCAGAAAAGGCTCAGCAATTATCCAAGGGTTAGAAAACTTCTGGGACACAAAAAAACTTAAGAATTCAATCTATTTGTGAAATTGAAAATTAAAGGGTATGTTTATCCTAGCCTATAAGCAAGAAAATGGAAATTATTTCGGTGGCAAGGAGCTTTTTAGGGCTGAATATGCAACTGCTGAGAGTTACAGTTACACAAATAGAGAGAAGAAAAGACAAGAAGCAGTAGGTTAGATTCTTCCCAGGACACTTCATGGTTTCTATAATTTATTTTAAAAATGTGACACCCAGTGAAACCCCCACAGAAAAGTACCATCACTGGGTGGCTGGAAAGCCAGGAGTCACACTGTTTCTCTGTGTTTGTCCATGGGAATTATTGGAAAAAAAACTGTCAATTCGGTTAATGATACTGGCATTAGTGAGACATGATGAACATCTTTAGAGAGACATCCCCATAGCAGATATGGCATGAAACCCGCAAGGAAAATATTCTTATGGAGCAGAAGCTGTAGGTCAAATCCTCTATGGCATCTCAGGTGATCTTTCTATCTTGGAAAGCAAAGGGAAAAATATTCAGGATTAACAAATAACATAATAAAGCTAACATAATGTGATGTTTTTGTAATGTAGTGAATGATTAACACAAAGTGCTCAGTGGAAAGTTTGTAAGTCCCAGGCATGGCCATAGCAAGATGGAGCTCCTCCACACATTTCATTGCACAGAGCAGCTTCTGGAGCCACCAGCTGCAAGAGGCTTCACAAAATTTGTGCAAAATCAGGATTAAGATGAAATATTGTTCTACTGGCCGTTAAAGGGCTCTCACACTTTCCTATGAAGCAACAATTGTTTCTTCTCCATGGCCAGCTGTGGCCAGTTGTGTTTCAACATCTTCAGAGCCCAGCCTCACTTCAGAAGATAGCAATGCTCATCTGCTCCTGAGGTTTGATCTCTCCCCTCCATCCTTCCTTCTGGGGTCCCCTGCATCCCTATCCTCACTGCCCCAAGAGAAGAATGAGTCTGGCTGCAAGGAGGTCACCTGTCTTATGGACTTAGAAGTGCTCAGAAAGTCTGCTTGCTTGTGTATCCAGCTCCAGAACTCCACTATTTCACACAGGAACCTTTAGGAACAAAAAAGACAGGGGATATAGCAGGTTTAAAGATAGTAAAAACAGAAAAATGCTGCAGGGGTAAGGGCTGAATTGCTCCTTTTCTCCCTGACTAGTAATGCTGCCAGTGAGAAACTAGCTTAAAATAGCCACCAGACTCAGTAATGGCAAACAGTCACTTTGCATCATCACCAACAGTGGCATAAGACAGTGGTGAATTAAGGTCAATGTATTGATGGGCAGCCAGTGTTTGGTCATTACTGACCCTTCAACAAAGAGCTCAAAGAGTTCAATAGCAGGATGGACTCTCTAATAGAGTGCTGTGAGGTTTGTGAATAATTTATCCTAGAAAGCTAGCATTGGAAAAGCTGAGTGAGTTATGAAGATCACTGAGAAGACAGAGCTCTTGCATTTACATCTGTGTGTAAGGTAGCTGCATTTTTCTTCTGTTAATTTAAAGCAGTGACGTGGTTTGGGTTTGCATTTTCAAAAGCAAACAACTAAGGTGCAAACCCCAATAGGTTTTCAGGGGTACTGGAGCATAAATCCTGCATGTGTGCATGTGAAGATGTGCACATGGGAGAGACCAGCAGCACTGTGTTTAACTGGGAGCCCTGAGAGACACCATGGCTTTCTGCCTGCAGCCATAATCAGAAGCAGGAGAAACCAGGTATGGATATGGCATAGACATGCTTGAAGGCTGGATGGCTTCTGGGGTAGTTTTACAGCTGGTTCAGGTGATATCCTTGTTTCTGCATATTTTCAAAAACAACAGATGAAAAGAAGTGCTTGTACGTTTGTCTCATGTCAGCTGTTCCCATCAGACCTCTGGCCCTGATTCATTGCACATTAGTGTTACTCAGTAACTCGGATCTAATATAATATCAGCTCTGCTGACATTTATCACCTGCTGCCGTTACTGATTATTTGGGTTTACTGCCTGAGTTAAGTTAGTTATTTACTTTTCATGACTAATGGGTATGAAGGTTGTTTGCCACAGTTGGTAGAGACAAACACAAATGTTCCCAGGTAACTGGGATTGAAAAGAATTCTCTAAATAGCTCAGTACAGAGTTTGTCACTTAAAACTGAGACACTAACAAGTCATACATGTATTTGGGTACGCACGGAGTCATCTGAGTATACTTGAAGAAATCAACCCAGTTCTAGCTAGTACTGACCACAGAGGTTTACTTTGGATTATAGCTAGTGTATATATAAATATATAAATATATATATATATATATACATATGTCATATATATACATGCTTGCTTAACCCATGGGTATTAAAAATGTGCCTGAGCCTACAAAATTACTGAAAAATATCTGTAATATAAAATACAGTTTCTTCCTAGGAAAAAAAATACACATAAACACTACTATAGGTAGCAGCAACCACCATCTAAATCCCACACTGCTACACACTACAGTCATGCTACAAAGGGAGAACTGTTTACTTCTGGGACAACTATTTCCAGACTTTCATAACCCATGGCCTACTTGACCTTTTGCTCAAACTTGAACTACAGTGTGCTGTGAAATGCCTGGTTCACTGTGTCCTCAAAAGAAAAACAAAACCAAAGAGGAACAAATTGTATAACTGAAAGATACTGTTAAAAAAAAAAAAAAAAAAAAAAAAAAGCAGCAGCAGAACCTAAAACCAACCCAAACAAACATAGTATGCTGGGAAGAGCAGAACTATTCGCTGTCTGACAGAAAAACTGGGTTGCAGCTAGTAACAAACTCAATTTTCTGGTTTATTAAATATATCCTGCTTAAACGCTTGGTGAAAAGCTGTGACCTGTGGAGTCAATCCTTTCATAATTTGTTATATTTGATTGCCCTTTACATCTCAGGTTGGTGTATGCTTGTATTTGAAAGCTGCATGCTTGCATCCTTCTCATTTCACAGGGGAGTTTGCCAAGCTTATTTTATGAGCTATCTGTGGGTGTTACCCATCTTCATCTGAAATGGCAATTGCCCCTTTGGTTTTCTGGAAATGGCCTTAGCTCCTTCACTGTAGGTCAAGGAGATTTATATAGTCATTTACGTGGGAAATTCAGCCCTGCCATGTTTCAGTCAGTGAGGTGTGTAATGTGGCCTGCAAGGCAATATCAGTGCCATCTTAAGTGTGCTGCACAAATACAATGCTTAGAGTAGCTCCTATTTTCATCTGGATTGAGGTGTGTGCAGAAGACATAAAAGAGGTTATGAAGTGCTATTTTCTAGAGAGAGGGTGGAATGTGATTAAGTTTATTTTCTTCCTATCTGATGTCTTGATGTAATTCCTTTTTTGAGTTGACTATATCCCACTGCTTAGCCACTGCTCCCATGGAGAGAATGGGACAGGTCTGAAAATCCCCTTTCAATAGCTAATATCTTTTTCTCTGCATCTGAACAAGTAGTTCCCACCTATTCCATAAAATCGCATCAATTATCACAGGTATCTTACCATCAAGTTCTTAGTCTTTTGGAAAAGTGCACCCATCGCCATTCCTCCTATGTACCAACAGAACTGATGAAGTGAATCTCCGAATACTTGCTGCATTTTATCACATTGAGATGTCCTTTCCAAATTTTTCAGATACTACAGATGCATTTCCTTCAAAACTACTATTTTTCCACTTTCCAGGACATTTCAGTCTTTATTATACCTAATTTTTCTACTCCCAAATCTCTCTCTGAAGGAAAAGTACTATTCATGTTCTGGCCTTTCAAATGCTGCTGTGTCTCTGAATCATTTCAAATCACTTGCTTTTCTTCTGCTAGCTGATTCACAGGCAGTGGTAAGATGCAAGACTGAATCATGGATCAGTCCTCCCTACAGTTTTTCTCAACCATTTAGGAAGTCTTAGTATCCCAATATCAAACACACCTACTGGGTCTTTTTCTCTGCTTCTCACTGAGGCACATCTATTTCTACAGGTCTTGGTACACGTAGATTAGGAGGTCTCCCAGCTGGTACTTCAAACTGCTTTACATTTCCACTAGCCCAGTCTGTTGGTCTCTCTTTCCAGTGAGAAACCACATTTGGTTGTTTCACTCTGCTTTGCTGGTCACTGACAACCAACTTTAGACTGCACTCCTTCCAGAGCCTGCTGGTTCTCTGTCCCATGGAGCACTGGCAGCTCTCCCCAGGCTGCCTAGAGGTTCATGCATTCCCCCCCCCCAGACTGTCACATGCAGGTGATACAACAAAGGTTGTGCCCTTCAAGTGTCATTTTGCTGGATATGGTCGGGCAGTTGCTGTCCTGACCTGATTTGCCAGTGCATTGCCATCGAGGGGTCAGGTTTTAAAAACCCTCTGTGTATCTGAGTGTACCTGCTCCTTCCTTTCCTGCTGCTGTGGCTCTGGAGCCGTCTCCACTCCAATGGTTCTTCAGCAATCTTGTTACACACTGGTGTTCCTTGACACTTGGGACTCTCTTGTTAATGACACCAGCTTACCAGTAGTGCATTAGTTAGTTTTTGACAGTCTGATTAGAAAAAATTTTTGTAGCCTTCTGTGCCTTTTCATGTGTATGGGGATTGTTCCATGGCTTTCTGATATCCTTGTGCAGGATTCTTTCAAAAGAAGTTTTGACTCATGTAAGTTTTGAAGAGTTTTGAGGGTTTCTTTCCCTTGACCTTCTTTTAGTACCATGTGTATCTACTTGCAGGATTGATGCTTTATGAATCTTCAGTGTCTTTCTGACACAAGGAATGCTATAGACTAAAATTTTCCTAAGTCGCACCCCAGGGATGCAACTAAATCATGCTTTGGCAGTACTTTTTATTTTTATGGGCATTTCTCCAGGCTTTTAAAGTACTTAAAAATGCTTCACCACCATAATTTTCCTTTTTCACTTTTTGAGCGGAACAAAAAACCCCAAAACTCTTTTTTTTTTTTTTTTTTTGTTTTGTTTTGTTTTGTTTTGTTTTTGGTAGACTGTCCAGATGCAAGATAATTTGTTGCTTGTGCTTTATGATTTTTCTGCTAAATTTTACTTTCCCCATACCCCGTCGAAGCAAAATCTGAGTTCTGCTGTTCCTTTGCTTAACATCATATGTGTTCTGCTGAGGTTTTGCTGTGCTTGTATTTGAACTCTCTGTTGTGGTACCTGCTGTCTTAGGTTCTCTGTTTCTTGGATTTTCTGCCTGCGCTCTCCATGGTTAGATTTCTCATGGCATTTTGTTAAAAGAGGTACTTATTTTTTACATTCTGGCACATCCTCCTCTTTCTATTAATCAGAGTCCTCAATTATACAGTGCTAGAAGGTTCTTACTCACTATTCCGTATCTGATAGCTTACTGTTAATGTTTCTTCATGTTTTTCTATAGGTGGGGGATTTTATTGTGGAAAAAAGTAAACTTCAAGTGCTTCATCAGGCTCTCTGTTCTTTTTCTCTTTTCTTTTTGCCTAAAAATATTGTAATGCAAAGGAATAAATAACTAAAAACTTGCTTTACACTACAAGCCATTTACTTGAATTAGGTTTGAGAAAAATTAATATTCATAAACAATTTCTTGTTAGAAAGAAACATTCCTTTGCCATATTTTCATATTTGTAGATAGCAGAGTATTTTATATAATTCTCATGGAAAACCAGTATTTTTTTTTCCAAGTATGACATTATGTTTTGCCATGTTGTAAATATGCCTGAAGATAGACACAAGCCAGCACAAAGTAAACATGCTTTTATCAGCAAAATGTCTAAACACACTCTGCTGCCAGTGGTTTAACTAGCAAACAGAAAAGGAGAGAGAGATAACAGTTTGCACTAATTATTACCCAGTTATTTCCCAGGAGATATGATATGGGAGATAGGCTGGTCTCTTAAGGCGTGCTCTGCTAGCGATGGCTCAGCAGGGATTGCAGTGAGACTGCTGCTGCCCAGAGCTGGTGGAGGGCCAGGCAGATGGATGAAGAAGTAGAGTACTTCATACTGCAGTGCTCTGGTCACTTGCCTCTATATTTTGCTCTTCTCAGGAGACAGTCCAAGGCACCAGACTGTCAGAAGGCTGGGCTGGCATGCTCAGATGTGCTATGGAGAGGGATACTGCAGCAGGTTTGAAACAGACCACAGGACTGAGCATGGCAAGAGGTTACTGGGTTCTTCTTGAAGGGACCTCAAACTGAGGATTTAATGTACTGGGAATTAACTGTGAGGTTCCTTTTTCAAATCTGCTTATCAGTTAAAACATTTCAAGAACAGAGATCCTAAGGTGAGACATTTATTTCCAAGTTTGGCAGCTTATGAACAGTTCTTTGCTGAGACAAGCTTTGTGATTTTTGTTTCTATGCATAACTTGATAAAAGGCTGACCATCCAACAACACACCTTCTCTGGCTGTTGTATATATTTATTGCACCATGTAATAAGAGGTAGCAAAGTTATTGCAATACAAGACTAGCTCAAGAGATTAGATTTTATCTGCCCAGCCTTTCTAAATAGCCAGTGATTGCAAAACCCAGGCGCCATTCCAGGTGGAGACCAGAAATCCTTGTGCGTTACCCCACCTCTCTCTCAGGGCCAAAGACAGAGCATAAAGAAAGTTTCTAGAGCTGGAAGAGCAGAGCTGAGGAGACCCAGATATGAGGTCTGGAGGCAGATCAGAAATGGTAAAACAAGGCACAGGTTTATTGAAAAAGCTATGAGGAACACAGAATCTGTTCACATTTGTAGGAGGATGGGGAGGTGGCTGAGGCAGGACTTCTGTCTTTGTCTCCCTGAAGAAAAGAGACATTGTGGTCACAGTGGTTGTCAGTCATGGCAATAAACTTCAATCTATTCCACATTTCAATTTAACTGGACATTTGGGCAAGTGGTACAAACATACTGACGAAACTTTTGGTTTCATGAAAATCAGCACCTGTGCAAAAGAAGGGAGACCCAAATGTGTGTCCCTTCTGAGGGAAGGTGGGGGAAGTGAGGCATAGCACACACTTTAGCAGGAATCAGCCAGACTGTTGGTAGGACTGGTCCCTTCCTACAGGCAACCAACAGGACACGCTGCTTCTGGCCCAAGGGAGATGTTGCGAGGAAAACAGAAAAGATGTAAAGGACACAAACTGGAAAGAAATGAAGTTTCATGGCTCACACGTCTCAGAGAACAACTTCAGCCTTCCTTTCAGTTTTTCATTAGCTAGAGGCTCTGTGGTCCACAGAGCTTCATGCAATAAAATAACCTGGTCTCTTGGGAGTATACAGCACATAATCCTGCTTTTCCAGTGCAGGATGGAGGCCTGAGAAACTTAAGAAATGAAACGAGGCAATGCACTGAGGGAAAACAGATGGAATAGGGGACAGGCAAACCCTTGTGCTTTATGAGAAGGACAAAAACAGATGCTTAAAAGAAAGGGAAATTAATTAAATAGTGCGGCTACTTATAATGGACTGTAGCAATGCCTGAGGGAAGTGCCCTGCAGCATTAAGCATCCCAGTCCCTTCTTCTCCATCTTCACTACCAAAATTACCAGCAACAAATCTTACTTGTAGGCGTCCCTAGCAATGATCCCTCTCTCAACACATCCTATGAGGATTTTGTTAGGCTCATAAAGCAGTAATTTCAGTGAGATGCAGAAAATCATGAGGCTTAATCACACTTAAATGTCTTTTCAGGGGCTTTCCTGATACCATACTTCATCGCTCTTCTCTTTGAAGGAATCCCACTGTTACACCTCGAGCTGGCCCTAGGGCAGTGCCTGAGGAAAGGCAGCATTGGAGCCTGGAACACCATTTCTCCTTACCTTGGAGGCGTTGGTACGTCTCTTCAGTCCCAGCTCAAGGAACTGCAGACAGCTCCCACCCAGCACTCACTTCCTACAGACCTGTGCCTGATGTGTTTTAGGATATAAAAAGAAATGAGTGTTAGGATTAAAAAGATTTCTCTTGTAATGAGGATATTAGGGGTGATTTCCCAAGAAACATTCAAGGCCATGTTGGATGGGGTTCTGAGCAACCTGGTCTAGTTGAAATGTCCCTGTCCATGGCAGGGGTGTGGCACTAAACTATCTGTAATGTCTGTAATGTACAGAATCTGTGATTCTGTAACTGTGTATTGCTCTCAGCAGGCGTTACTCCAGGCACATTTTAGGATCATTTGAAGAGCCTAAAATGCAAACCTAATAACCTTTGCTGTGGGGAGCATAGTGAACATGGGCTCTGCTACTCAACACTACCCCATACCCACTATACCCTGGTGCTCAAGAGCTGCCTGCCCACAGTGCTTGCTCTTCTCTCACAGCCCTTCCAGGACTCAGTCTTCTCTGTCCGTGAATAGCCAGACTAAAGGAAGGACAGAAAGACAGGAAACCAAGGATCCTAATACCTCCTAATGAGTCCAAAGCACATGGGAAGTCTCCCCTCCACAAGAGGGTAGGGCTACTGAAGAGACTTTATCAACACAGCTGGGTATGAGGGACAATCCACACAGCATTGTGCATGAGGCTGATGTGCAGTCCTGCACTGTCGGTTCTTTTCTACCTATTTAATATATTAAAAAACTCATCTGGTGCTCTGTGTCCATCATTGTTAGGCTGCAAAAAGTGACCCAGAATAGCCACCAGAGGTTAAGGAGGTTAAGGCATTGACATCTACTGGATATTTGAAATAACACCCTTATGCCTGCAGGGCAAGGGGAAGCTCCTGCATGCTTCAGCCAGCTCTGCTGGATCATGACCTGCTTTGAGCAGGTGCCTGAAATGGGCTTGGCACTGATAGCCCTCCCACTGTGAGCCCACGTGAGAGGAGAAGGGGTGGGAAAGAGGAGTCATCTAAGGGCCAAAGGGCAATGAGAAAGAAATACCAAGCAGCAGGTGGTTCTTCCAGCTAAACCCATCTCCTACAACCAGGTATGTTCATACTCCCTTTGGAAAAATGCAAGCAAATGGAAACTGTGGTGCTGATATTCCCTCCTCATCACAGGAGAAAAATAGTCCCAAATTTAGGGCACCTGTGCATGATACGGGACAAGAGTGGCCTCATGCAGCTACAGCACACTATAAAAGTTTGATCTCTTTTGCTCTCTGCTATTACAGTTGTCCAGTATCATAGAAAACAATGGATTACATACTAGAGCAAAGATTTCAACCCTAACCTTCTGTGTAAGTAGAGAGTCTCAGCATTCCTGGAGCAGGGCTGGTGATCTGGGGGATTGTGCACCAGTGTTTGGCTACTGAAGACACAAATGCCCATCTTTCATGGAAAATCTCAGGAGGGGGTCAGGGGGATGGAGAAGAAAATCTTGAAAAAATAGGAAATGAGAGCTTCTAGCAGCTAATGCTGTTACTGACAGATAACTTTTCCCAAAGCTTTTCTGAAGTGAGATCTTGTGCTTTCTGTAGGAGTTGGTTCATGGATGGTGTCGATTCTTGTGAGCTTGTACTACAACACTGTTTTAACTTGGGTGATGTGGTATTTCATAAACTCCTTCCAAGAACCTCTTCCTTGGAGTGTTTGTCCTCTAAATGAAAACAGAACAGGTAAGTACACTTCCATGAGCACTGCTAGAAAAACATCAGACTCTGATGTCTAATAAAGAAACCACACTTCATTTGGCTCCAAATTGTGCACAATTCCTGGTTTGATTTCCTGTTAAAAAGGTACAAGAGTCATTGCGTCATGCTAGCTTACCCAAATTCATCATCCTCACCAAAACAATAGCCAGAAAGTCGTGAGTCCTTTTGCTTGATTTTAAAATGGGAAACAAAATAAAGAGAAAATTCCGTTATCCATTACAAAACCTTTACTAAGACTAAAGAGAGACAGTGTACATAAGCAGGATAAGGAAGAATGCTCTCAGGTTTTTAAAACTATTTTTCAGCTTCCTTTTTTTCTCAGAGCACGAGAGAGAACAAGTTCCAGGGCACAGCAAGAAATACCACCTGAGTAAAAGGCTAAGAAAAAAGGCAAAACATAGTGGAATTTAGCTTTCTTTTGGAGCCCTTAGGACTGTTCTAGAGTAGAAAGATAAATAGACACCACAGGTTGTGGTGTGCACCACATTCCCTGTTCTGTTTTCTTCAGGCACAGAGCCTGGCTGGGGAATGCCCACTCCCCTGCATGCAGATGCCTGAAGTCCCTGTTCTCAGAAGCCCTGGAAACTCAAACCAAAGAGGGCAATGCCTGGGTCTTTCCACACCACAGGGCCATGACATAGCCAGGGGAGCCTGGACTTTGAGGTATTCCCAGGTGCCTGGAGTTTGCTATGGTCCAACCAACTTGTAGCTATACAGCTAAAAAATTCATCATTTTCACTACAATTAATTTAGACTTTACCTTGCACTGTGTACAACACTGTTTCAAGCTAGGAAGTAATCTCCTGTATAAAATGCTGGTGATGTTCTGGTAAAGGTAAGTCTAATAGTCTCAGCCTGCTGTGAGAGTTTGTCTTGCTGCACATTACAGACAGTGCAGAAAGTCCATCTCTGTATTAGATTTTGCAGCCCACAATTTATTCTAACACTTGCTACTTTTTATTTTTTCAGGATTCAATGAAGAATGCTATGAAAGCACCGCAGTAAATTATTTTTGGTACAGGAAAACTTTGAACATAACACCTGATATTGCTGAGAGTGGCACGTTCCAGTGGTGGCTCATTTTGTGCTTAGCAGCTTGCTGGGCAATTGTCTATCTCTGCACCATCCGAGGAATTGAAACCACAGGGAAGGTATGGAAAGGGTAGAGAAGTGACTGTCCCACAGTTTGAAATCTTGCCCTCTAGACACCGAGTTTTTACCATAAGGAAAGCCTTCCCCACTTACCACACTGGCACCATTCAGTGTGCCCCTTGTCCAACAAATTGAGAACAGCAGTACAAGTGGCTTAAAATGATGCTTCTCTCCTTTTCCACTGCAAACACTTCTGCCCTACCAGCCTTCCCTCTCACAGTTTTAAGAGCCATTTTGTTACAAATATATTCTGCAAAAGTACACCCTGCTTATGTGAAAGATGGCCATATTCATCTGTAGCTGCCCGATCTAATATTATTATTATTGTATGTTGCAATAATTTAAATAGAATTGTTTGAACTTATTGCCAGTAACTCTCTGTCTTCTGACCTCCTTACTTTAGGCAATTTATGTAACAGCAATATTTCCATATCTGGTCCTGACTATATTCCTTATTCAAGGACTCACTCTACCAGGAGCCACTGAAGGTCTGATTTACCTCTTCACCCCTAATGTAAGTATTAGTATTAATTTTCCTTTTACTCCTCCTCAGATTTCATACCACTTTCCAACAACTCCTGATTTAGGTGCCTATCCAAGAGTTCAGCCAAGCTCTTTTTCTGAGATGAAGGGACTTAATTATTTTAATATATTTTCAGAAGAAAATAAGCAGCAAAGAACTTAACAGTTCAGTAGTAAGCCTATCAGAAAATACTGGAAAATTAAGAATGTTATGGATGCCTCAGTCTTTAATGTGTAAGTGAAACTGATGTGCTTCACAAGTACATGAGAAGAATGCGATTTCCCTGCCACTGCTACAGAATTTACACAGCTTTAATCTTTTAAGAATTCACAAAGAGAACAACTGAGGATTTATACTATAAAGTGATTTTTTGGGAGGTTGAAAGTAGTTTTCTCCTGCCCATTTCTTCATCTCATTTCTCCCCTCCCCCATATCTCTTCCTGAAAGACGGAACTGCTGTAGAACAGCCCTTCTCCCATTTTTCTTAACTTCTCAAATGTTGAACTTCTCGTATAGACAGAAGTTCCAGATCCCTCCACATGCTGGCCATTTCAGAAGCACCTTTCCTACACTGTCCTTGGCAGCATTCCCAAATGCAAAGTCAAACTGTCCCACTGAGTGGTTGCTATCCACTAGAGGCTCCTCACAAGTATGCCTTCATGGCTAAAAAGCTCCATGAATTGGTGGGTGTAGAGAGGAAAAGCAGAACTCACTGACACATTCTCGAGCATCCGCTGCCTCTGCAGCCACAGCAGTGCTTCAAACACAGGAGCACTGGATTTTTCCTTTCCTACAACAAGAACACAGACATTAAAGAAAACATAAGCCAAGAAGCTCAGAGATACTTTATATGCCAGGCTGGAAAGGGACAAGAGCAAGAGAAAGCTCAGATGAGACACTGTTTTATCCCTCTTTCTACAAGCCCAGTGGCACAGAAACTCATCTAAATGCTGCCAGAGCTCAAGACAAGCTTAGTATTACAGAAGATCAGGATATTCACTTAAATTTTTTAAGGGCCAGACAGGACTGTAAGAGTTTGGTGCAATGTCTTAGGGAAGAAAGCAGCTTTGACAACACAAACAAAACACGCCTTGGCCTGTTAGCAGTTGGTCTCAGCTAGGCTGTCAGGTTTCTCTGGAATAGCTCAGGCATTTTTGGAATTTAGTTTTCAATGATCCTGGACTGAATGCAAAAACACAGATTTGCTGTACTGACAAAGCCTGGAGGTATTGCAGTGCTGAGGAGGAGCAGGTCATTGTAAAAGAGCCAGATGGATTTGTACACTGGCAACGGAAGCCAGAATGAAAATCCACCTGCAGTGAGCCTGCAGCTCATGGTTACCTGGTTTGAGGAAGCAGATCCTGGGGACGTCATTGAAAAATCATCTGAAGATGGTTCTAGTGAAATTCTTATCTACAAATGTGGAAAAGCTGATGCAACAGCTGGTAAGTGATACCTGCTATCGGTGTTGCCATTGCACAGAAAGTGTAAGACAGATGGCTTTGTTAAACTAACCTACCAATTGCTACACAGGGTTATGGCACTTCAAGGACTTCAAAAGCATAGTAAGCACACAGCTTCAACACTGCCCTTCTCTCTTCATCCCCACAATGCAGTACCAATATTGCCTTTGCTGTTAGGCTATTCCCACCCTCCCTGTGACCAAATACCAGTTTTTCTTTTACACTTCTCCACAGGGGATGGCTCAATGTGAGTTGTAAAGAAGGGCTGTTAGGCAGAGATTTACTTGGCCCACCCAGGCTACATCAGTTTACAAAACTGTAAAGCATATTTCTCAAATATGTGCTGTTTTTTTCTTCTTTTCCTTTTTTCAGAACAGTTTTAGTAAAATAAAGTAAGACTTAAACCACCTACTGTCTGTTTCAGCTTGCTTTTAAAATACATAAAATCAGCCTTCTTGACATTCTTCCCTGATCGGAGGCAATATTTTACAACTTCTTTCCAACTCTGCAGTGCACCAGAAATTGTAGTTTCTCTGTAACAGCTGCTACATCCATTATCTCGTAACTGTGACACCTCATGGTTGTTTGTGGAAGTCTGTGAAAGTAATACCTAGCACAAAAAGTCCCATCTTACCCAATTTCAACATCATAACCACTTAACTAAATTTGTTTTGTTTTTTTAAACCACAATTTTTAAAGTTTATTCATTTTCCAAGTTCATACTTTAGTCCTTGTTAATACGTACCACACATAATAAAAGCATGCATATGGATTTTAATTATGCAAGGCTGTGTTTTTATTTTCATGCAAAAATACATAATCAACTTTTGTCATCTGACACACTTGCCTAAATTTCAGAATAAATAATGACTACTTCTTTTCATTGACTTTCAGACATAGAGAAGTCTGATGGTTCACTCACCTTCTCGAAATTCTTGGTTACTTGGAAAATGAAGGTGCCAAGAAAACAAAAACATATCCTGAAGCGATACTTGAGGAGAAAGCAGAAGTTATACAACGATGAAGCCTGGAACAGGCTGGAACAAGGAGCAGGAACAGACTTTTGGAAAGGTTTTCGGAAAATAAACAACCAGAGGCAGCAGAAACAAGATTCCATCATGCATCAGCAAGAGTCTGCATGGTTCAGCTTCAGGGGATGACTGTGTCACCTAAGGAATACAAATGTCTCCTTCTCCAGTGTCTTTCACATTTGAAAGAGCTTCAGAGATTATAAATATTAGGAGGTTCTCTGGCAATGAACAATTCCAAGAACTTGGTTTGGCAACTGTTGCCTGTGCCCAGAAATCAGCAGCTATTTAACAAGGAGTGAGAATGCCAAAAAAAAAAAAAAAAAAAAAAAAAAAAAAAAAAAAAAAAAAAAGCACAGGCTCCAAATCCCCTATTCACAAAACCATTAACTGTTTTTACACCAAAATTATACATCACAGGGACCCCAGTAATTTTTAATTCTGTTTCTGTCTATGCTTCACATATTCAAGAATCCAAACATATTACCATTCATGAGGGAGTAATTGCCTTTCCTCCTTACTCCCCTGTTCATTCATTAATGCTGATCATACATCTTCATCCACATTTCTGGCATCAGCACATTTTTTCTTCTGAAGATATGCTTATAAAATCTGTATGCCATATAAATATAAAATAACACTTTCAACAATTTGCTGAAGCCCAGATAATAACATTGCCATGGCATGCTTGCCTGCCCATTATCTTTTCAAGTTTGGGGGTTGATTAATATCTTTTAGAGTCAATAAATGCACTGCACCTAGTACCAGTCTAAACTATCTCCAGACTCATTTGCCAAAGTTCCCAGCCTGAAAGCCAGACTTTTAGGAGTCGCATCTATCAGCATCAACTGACTTGGCAGCACTTAATCAAAGTGTGAAGGCCACGGAGCCACGTGAATGCCAAGTTTCTGCACTGCAACAGCACCTGCACAAGGTCCTGCCAGTGAGCACTCTGGCCTTTGAGGGCTTGACTATGATCTTTCAAAATAAACCTCTAGAAAGGTTTGCCTTTGCTGAAGCATTTCAGCCATCAATGGTCCCACAAATCTGCTTGCTATGTTGTGTTGTACAAGTGGTGACTCGGTTCTGCTGTGGTCAAAGCACTGGCCTCCCTGTGGAGAGAGCACCTAAGTAATGGCATTGTCTGAATCCATCCACACTGAGGTGGACCCATTGTTCTTGCTCCTCAAGCTCAGGCCAGCTTCAGAGAAACCCAAAATGCTATGAAGGGTCTTTTGGCGTACTTATCTCTCACTCCTGCGTATGTTCCCAGTCATGGACTTGGATCACTAGCACAGGCACACAGACACAAAACACACAACTTGTCCTGCATGACTGGGATGCAGATTTGACTCTGACTGATATAAAACAAACTGAAATAGTCTACAGTCCCAGCATTACTTTTGAACTATCTGGCTTTTAAAACATTCTCAGCAAAACATTCATCTATTTCCCCTTCTTGATAATGGATCAGAGAGCAATTCACCTAGTAGAGTATAACACATCACTTTGTAGTTTCTGCAGGAAAGTAATATTTATTGATCATGTTTACATTTTACACATTACTCATGTTCTATCTCTTTCTTTTATATAGATTTTAATGTCAAGGCTCCTTAGTGGAGCTATTTAAAACTGCTTAATGTCCTCCGTAACCCACCAATCATTGCTTTTTAATTTGCCTTCCTGTATCATACTGCCCTTACAACAAAATTCAAATTTCACTGTCAGTTTTTCCTTTTATCTTGTATTTCCTATACTGACCTTCTATCTTTTATTGCTGCTTTCACAGACCAGATAGCAGATGCTGCTCTTAATAACTGTTCTCTTCTTGCTTATTTGCGCTTTTAGTAACTTTTATTAAATTATTATTTAAGCAAATTTGGACAGCTACGGAATCACTTCCCATCTTAAAAGAGTGAAGGTTTAGTATTTGTTTATATGGTTCTAGGAAAACTTTCTTTAACTGCAGTTTAAGCATGTGAATTTTTAAAAAAAGGAAGTAATTGAGGAAAAATGTATTTTTTATTTTCCCTATTGTGTTCCTAGTGTCTATCACTTAGAAGCACATTTTTATCATCAGAGGAAGTGTACAATAAAGAAGATTCTATAATTGTTGCACACATTTAAATAACCTCAAAACACCTGTTTTACTGACCTGTTTAGTACATATTCCCATTTTCATAGTATTTAGATGGCAACACAGCTCAAAATTTCAGAATCAAAGTAACAGATGAGCTATGAGAACTGCAAGAGAAAAATAAATTTTAATTTAAGCCTAATACGTGCATTGCTTCTAATTATTTCAGCTGAACACTTTGAAAAATCCTCGTGTATGGCTTGATGCAGCTACACAGATTTTCTTCTCTCTCTCTTTGGCTTTTGGAGGGCTTATTGCATTTGCAAGCTACAATCCAACAAAGTGAGTAGAACTACAAGCTTTATTAGCTGGCTGAATTCTTGCTGCATTTTGTGCAATTTCTTTATATTTTCAAAACGTTTTCCTTAATTTTTCTAAAGGATCTTTAGAAAAGTATCTGTCTTTCTAAATGGCCCACTAGATTTTCTAACAGAAGGGGGGAGGGAAGGAGAAAGAAATTGAAAAAAAAATGTTTGCACAAATAACTGCATCACAGATAAGAAAACCTGCCTTTTATAATCACTTGTTTGAATGCTATCTCTAGAAATGACTGTGAAAAGGATGCTGTGACAGTAGCAATTGTGAACAGCATGACATCTCTCTATGCTTCCATCCCAGTCTTTTCTGTTTTGGGATTTAAAGCAACCACAGCCTACTGGGACTGCTTGGACAGGTGAGAAAGCTGTGTTCCTAAAGTTATACTGTGGTTACAGTGCCTAAATAGATAATGTGATTTGAAAGGCTTGTATTTAGAGAATTTATTTTCATTAGAAAGGAAAAGCATCTGTATGGAGAAGTTTAATGTAAAAATACAAATTATTATGGGACTGAGTCAAAGATGATAATTTGTAAGAATCAAGGCAAATTACAGAACAACCTATTTCAAGTTTGCACCTTACTCTCAGGCTAGCATTAGAAGTAGTAAAAATCCCTTCCTTCTTCTATTTCACTAGAAATTTATTTCACTAACTTATTAAACACAAGTAGTAGAAATGGTTTGGAAACCTGATAAAAATGTTTTAGAGACTGAATCTGCATAAAGTACTCAGAGTTTCTGTCTGAGACATTAAATAGTCTGAGTATTTTCTATTATTTTATATATGAACTGTCAATTAATATTTTCCTTTATATTGTAAATAGCAGCACAGAAAGTAAACACAACTTTGGAGTATCATCTGAATACACAGCATAGCATTTCCAGCCACATCATCTGCAAACTTTTAAACTAAAGTTTAAATATGTTGGCTTCTCTGGCAGGAACATTATCAGTATCATCAATGAATTTGATCTTCCGGAAGAAAGCATCATGCGACAGAACTATACATCCTGGATTAGTTTTTTGAATTCATCATATCCAGAAAAAATTGGTGGACTCAACCTGAAAAGCTGTGATCTTCAAGAATTTCTTGATCAGGTACCATAACTGCTTTCAACAGGTAATCCTTAAAACAAAGTTATGTAGAAGGATTGGTATCTTCCTTTTTCTTGTAAGTATACATACTCTGTTCCACCTGCAATGATATATCACACATAATCATGCAACAAATCAATCTTTCAACATTTGAAATAACAATACTGCTGTAGGATAGTCTGAATGTATAGCTGTCTGTTATGGCAAACAAAGCTACACATAATTACCACAAAACTGATCTTCCAGGGTGCTCCCACCAGAAGTCTTACCATAGACAATACACTCAGTCCTAGTTTGGTTTACAGAAATAAGCATAATGGGGGAACACACCTAGATGAAAGATCATAGAAAAAGGATGCTGAATGGGAATTTCCTAAGTCTGTATTTAGGAAAGTTTGAAAAATCCAGTACAATGTACACTGTTCACCACCAAAGTACATCATGAGTGTCTCCTTATTTTCCAACCTTCCTATAACATTTGTCCTACCACTAAACACAGATGTCTCTTTTCTGTTTTCTTGTCCTACCTCTCCACTTGCTCCAGGGATCCTGTCTGGCACAGTCAGTGTGTGCTAACGCATGACAGGCCTAACATGCAATAATGGTAACGTAGGCTATTTTACTCACATGATGGAGAAGTCCAAGGACAACATTCCAGCCCTGGCACAAGTCAGTTTCTTTTGTCTCACTTCTGATGGCATCCATTTCTCAATATTTCTCATTTACAGTCTGAAATATTTTACTTCCAAGTTATAACAACATTAGCATTTTTCAATGCTTAGATTTCAATATCCTTGTCCTTGGGAGATTAAATCAAAAGAAATTTGGTTGAAATTGGCTTTTTCCCTATTAGTCTTTTCTGCCTTGGCCATTATAGGGGGTTTTGTGACCTACGATTCACCAATTCTCTTTGTGTTAAAAGTAGTAATCATATCCTTATTTACACCTCTTTCTTTCCAGAAGCTTATACATCATAGATTTTTTAAAAGCACATTTAAGATGGTATTAGCAAAACAATTTCTATTACAATTACTGCCTTCCCAACAAATTACAACTCTCCAGTCAGCTTTACTCTGAACCCATCTCTCTCTGCAAGCTAAAATTCTGCTCTATGATTGTCTCGATCTCTCTAGAACACTTAAAATAAAACTCCCCACTGCCCATTTTCTCACTTGCTGGCGGCCACAGGGTGACCAGCAACCTTGACTACAGAAAAGGACAGCATTATATTATAATTACTTTATGCATGAGAAATGACATTGTAATGTGTATTTTAATCTGTTTGTGAATTCTGCAGAGTGTCTCAGGAACTGGCTTGGCTTTCATCGTTTTCACTCAAGCTATCATCCTTATGCCAGGCTCCCAAGCCTGGGCCATCCTGTTTTTCATAATGTTGTTCAGCTTGGGCCTTTCTTCGATGTTTGGAAACATTGAGGGTGTCTTCACTCCTCTTCTAGAGCTTCAGATTATACCTAAATCAGCACCTAAAGAGTTATTATCTGGTAAGGTATTTACTTTGTTTAAAGAAGGTCACTTCCTTACTGATGTACCAACTACTAGCTCCTTAATAGCACAGAGGAATTAATAATTTGTAATATTATTTTAGCTGAATGTCACAGTGTAAAAGTAAGGGCAGTGGATTGTGTTTGCAGAAGATACGCAGAGAGGTGAGGTAGCAGTTATGACAGAAGCTGTCAGGTGACAATCTTATATTGCCTTTGCCAGTTCTTTTCTCAGTTTGCAAGTTCAGCTGTTCCAGTCTGAGAAAGCTTGTTAAATTGCTATTCCCAGAGTCCAGTCCACTCTGAGCTGTTCCAGTCATCAGGAAGAGCCTTACCTTCCCTTAAGCCTTTGGCACTGATACAAATCACTTTAAGGCACCCAGTGGCATCAGCTGGTCTGCCATAACCACCTGCACTTGAACTTATCACAGTAAGAGAGGCCCATTCACCCCTATTTCACCCAGGTCTATGTTGCTACAGATTCACATTTACTGTGAACATGTCAGAGTAGAAAATTACCACTTGAAAAAAGAGGAATGAAGGTGTGGTATCCTGTTCTCGCACCAAAACTGGAATCTTTTCAACCAGCCACAGTTATTGAACACAACCTGCTCCTTAAGAACCAGACTTGATTAGAGTCTGAGAGATCCTACGATGAAACTGGTCCAGAAAAATCCATGGCAGTTACAAGTAATGGATTAATATTTCTGCAATGTGCCCTTTTAAATTCTTATGGGAAATATTGCTGTCATGCCTTTTGTAGAGTCTTCCTGTGGCATCTAAATTGTATCCCTAATTTTACAATTCTTCATGTAGAAACAAATTTATTCCCAACTTGATGAGTTAATATTATTTTTAAATTAATTTGGCAATTATGAACTTTAAAAGAAAAAAAGTCTGGAGGCAACATTTTACGGAATTGAACCACAGGCCATCTCAGAAGCAATTAGCAACACATTAGAAACACCTACAAACTGATTTGTAGCCTGTGTTTGTGTCCAGCAATACCTTTATTCCCTCTTTTCCTTCCCACTTTTTCTCTCAATTACCCCAAATCGGAATCTTGGCTAAAGGGGAACTGGCTGTACAGAAGTGTGCTGAAACCCAAATGATACATGCTGGAACATAAGGGACACACACATTTGTAACTCTGGGCGTTTTGAGGAAATGGGAGCAGAAATCCAGGGAGTCCTTACACTTCCAAGGTGGCACCTGCCTGCTGTTTAAGCCTATGGAAATGAGGCACTTGAAACTCACTACAGCACCGAAAAATTAACACTGGGTCACAGCACAGCCCAGGCTGTCTGAGGGAAGGAAGTATGAACAACTGAAGGATGGTCTGAGTCACATGAATACACTCCTCCTGCAACAGTAGCGCTCTTGGCCAACACACGGGAAAATTGGGTTTGGGAAGTGGTATTAGCTCCCCTAATGAGAGTACAGCTTGTTGTAACTCCATGAGAGGGAGAGAATAAAAATTGTTAGCGTAAGAACAAAGCAATTTAGAACAAAAATAAACCAACCAAGTTCAGTACTCCAGTAACAAAGATATCTTTTTTTCTTCAGGTATAATATGTCTAATTAGCTTCCTCATTGCTCTGTGTTTTACACTGCGTTCAGGGAGTTACTGGATTGACATTTTTGACAGATATGCAGGTTCAGTGCCTCTTCTAGTCATTGCTTTCTTTGAAGTGATTGGAGTTGTGTACATCTATAAAATTAAAAGGTATGTTGGAAAGAGACAGAATTTTTTTCTTGTAAGACAAAAATGCAGCTCAGGTTGCAGTAACTTTAACCCTGACCTGATTTGATTTGGTGATGATAACAGAGACGTCTTCCTAGCATGCTATGTTTGTTCCCTTAGCAATTTTGTCTTTTTATTTTAAATATCTGAATAGTTGACAGAACTGCTGCAATATGATCATCATTTATTTATGCTTAGAAACCTTACACTAGGTACTCAGGTAATTAAACTGACAATGTAAATTGGTCATTCATCTCTGGTATGGCTCAATAAAGACCTACTTGAATGATATTATTTACTCAAGTAAGTAGTGCGTTATTAAAGAATGGTGTGGAATAGAAAAGATTTACAGTGCTGTACTCTGTTTCCAACTTACAGGAAGCTATGAAAAAGGGAAACTGTTACCACTCTAGATCTGACCTCATCATAAACATGCCTTCTTTTACAAGGTTCAGTGAAGATGTGGAATGGATGACCGGACGAAAACTCAATCTCTTCTGGCAGATCACATGGAGGTTTATTAGCCCTCTGCTCCTGCTAATTGTCTTCATGGCCTTTGTTACTCTTCAGATGCAGAAGCCACCAAGCTACACAGCCTGGAACCCTAAATATGTATGTGCTCAAATATTTTTAGAATTTCTAATAAAAGGAAGAATGATCTATTTTTCTCCCTTACCAGATCCTTTAATATCATTGTTATCTACTGCTTACCCATTGAAAATAGCTTGAACTGATGTAGTGCTCAGAACGAGAAGGCTCCAGTGTGCAAAAAGGTTACACATACTAAAACATGTCTCCTCTTGAAGTGTCCTGCTTATTTTGTGCTCCATACCTCTTATGGATGTGTGTAATGCTCAGAAGTGTTGTAGTGAAACATGTCAGAGTCATTCCATACCCACAGAGGGTTCAGAGGGAGAACAAATGCCTGAACAAAGCTTTACAGCATAAGAGATGTCAGGGATGAAGGCATTTCTCAGTCAGAGCTACCAATATCACAGGGGCTCTGGTGAATATATCAATGTGTACTTTAGGCAGGCAGACAGGGAGGCAGTGGTCTGAGTATAGTGTTGGTTAATTCAGCAACAAAGACATGTCCATGCTGAGAACATTTGATCTTGATGTCACTGTCTCACATCAATTGCAGTTTCTTTGACCCCTCTCAAATACACCCTTGTGTAGGGATTTGAAGGTCAATTATGTTCTTAACTATATGAGGATTACACAGGAGCAGTGTCTCCCTCAAATGCCATCAAATATCTATCATCCCAAACAAAATTCATAGCCACAGACTTGCAGAAATTGTTTTATCATCTTTCCCTCAAAATCTGATATACATCTTCCCTATCTGACAAAGAACCTGCTCAGTAATTGTTGAAATCAGTTAAGCTTTGAGTACAACAAGAATGAACACAGTTTAACCAAGAGTAGGTGAAGATTTGATAACACTTTGGGCCATCCCCATATCCCTAGGAATGTGTCACAATTCCGGCTATACATCTTTGAAAGCATAAAGCACTTAAAGCTGTCTCTAGGCCCACAAGAAGAGTTTTCAGAGGATGCAGCCACTGACTGCTACTGTAGACAGAGTAGAACTTGCTATCTTTACTACAACAGTGAAAGAAATCAAAAATAGAAGTCATAGCAAAAAATAAGTGTACCTATGAATTATGTCTTTTGCTTGCCTTTTTATCTCTACAGGAAGGTTTTCCCATGAAAGAAGAGAAGGTCTATCCACCTTGGGTGCAGGCCATTTGCGTGCTGTTGGCTGCCCTTCCTTGCGTGTGTGTGCCTCTGGTAGCGCTTTTCCACCTGATCAAACAAAAGCGCAGAAACAAGAGCCCAAGCTTCGTACCACCAGAAGGCTTCTCCTGTCAGGGAGCTAACAGCAACTCTTCTCATCCAAAAGAATAAATATTTATTGTATCTGTCTGTAAGCAAAATAAGACAGCCTTTGTTAGACATTATTAGCTGTAATTTAGCATCATCCAACCAACCTGGTATATACAGTTCCAATGCTTACAGCAATCACTACATTCTGTAAACAACACTGTTGTGGTTCCTTTAATTTCAGCCAATTTCACAGCTTCACGTATATCTCCATCCAGAATTTGAACTTGGAAAGCCTATTAAGTATTGTTGCTGGTTTCTTTCTTCACTTTCAAAAAACTGGTCTGCTCCCAAGGATCAACAACATAAATTGGAACACAAGCACCTACAGTTTCTTTCACTGCCCTGTCCCCCTGCTCCAGGAGATGCAGAATGAGAGCCCTCTAAGATAAGGACTGCTCTTTTCCACTACACTCTAATTTTTATAAATCTCTATATACACTTAAACAGCAGTCATTTTGTGATTATTTCATATTCTCAAACATTGCAAGGAGCAAAGAAAGCATCAGCAGATAAAAAGAATGTTAAGTAAATCTGAGCACTTAATTCTGCACAAATATCTTATCTTAGCAGATTCCAGAATTTATTCTAGTGGAAAATACTGTAAAAAAAAAATCCCCATTTTTTTTCCCTTTATTTCTCATACAGAACACAATAGCTGAATACCATAACAAAAAAACAGATGTATAGCAGCCTTTCAGTGAGCTGCAACCTTACAGGATATGACAAGGAAATTAATGTTTACCAAAAACCAGGATTTCCTGTACTTGGCTCCAGATCCTGGCCACTCTGTAGTGCTGGGAGATGAGGATTCCTCTTGTCATGATACTTGAGGAACCAGCAGCCTCTGAAAAAATATGGGGAAAGTATGACACCACCTTCAGGCTGAGTAACTGAGTCAAGGAATAGAAAGGATTAAGGCTATAAAGCTGTAAATACATAAATAAGAATTTTTAACTAACTAAAGCATACATTTTATATTCACATTTCTGACTACAGATACTAAATGTTCATTAAAATCCTATAGGCAACTATATGCAGCAGGTTTAAGTAGTCAGAGGTCTGTTCTTAAACAAAAACACATCTAACTAATAGAGAGAGAATCTGAGAAAATAATTAAACTAAATCTAAAAGACTTTCAAATCTATGAATCCATCTTGAGTTACTGTCACGGTATCCAGACTTGACTTTTGAGCTGTCCCTTCCATTCACCAGAAGGGATACTTTATGGATCACCGGACATGCAGTTCAACCCAGGACAGGATTCTGGGGGAGGACAATTTTCAGCTCCAGTAACTACAAATGATGGCTGGGAAACACAAGCTGAAGTTACTGTTTACCTCAAGTAGGCATGTAGTAAAAAGTGTTGAGCAATCCTTGCAGGAACACTGCTTATCTGTTGCTAGTGCACTTCCAATGTTACCTCCACCAAAATTCCCACGCCAAAACTGTAGCCTTATTCCAAAAAGTTAGTGCTACAAGCTCCCCTTCTTATTCATGAATAAGAAAATAGGTACATTTTCCTCCGAAATAGCTCGACTGGGTTACCTGCGGAAGCACATGTATACAAACGCTTTCTGCTCAGTCTTTCCCAATCTTTTATCTCCATATTCCATCAAATCTTCTTTGCTCTAACAGCCTGCCGTGAACTCATAATGTTCTGACAGACAAGACTTTCCTAGAATTGTCTAGGTTGCAAGAATCACTTGGGTTCTTTGGGGGTAAAAGACAAACACAGCCATGGAGATGTTCAGCCTTAACCAGAATCCACAGCCCTAAAACAAGGAGTCAGAAGGAGCAGTGGAACAGCACTATAAACAAGGAAACATCCAAATTAACATAATACAATTAACTGAAAACAGATGCAGAAAGAAAAGCACAATCCTTCTGGAACACAGGCAGTTTCCTGCATTGTGAAATTTGACACCTACCTCAACCAGAGATTCCCAGTCCATGTTTCCTTCCCAAAAGGAAACAGTGGAGAGAAGAACTTGTTTGATGGATGCATCCAAGATATTGTGATCTCCCCTAGAGAGGCTTCTGTCAAATTCCTTCCTTACATCTCTGTAGACACACTAAAAACAAATGTGAAGCCCTATTTCTCCCCTTCCCCATTTAAACCCTCCAGCAAGCTCAACTTCCTGAGTGGTTTGCAACACTTGCAGCGCAGGTTGCGCGGAGAGTTACGTTCAGTGGTTTAGCTCTCGATCCCTCTACTTACCTTCTCTTAAATACTGAGACCTTAACCTTCACCACAGCTCTCAAAGATTTTGAAATTTTCCCAGCTGTACAATGATTGTTGAAAATCCACATTACAGATTCAGAATGCTCCTCAGGTAATTCCTTTAATATTTCTAGATTCAAGTTATTCACTCTACCCAAACGTTTCCTGTCAGCAGTTGCTGTTTAACGCACTGCTTTGCTACCAATTAAGTAGGATATATTTTACCACCACAACGGATCACACTATTTCTTTTAGAACAGTTCTGTGCCAGAATAGCTGTATGGAATATTTCTACCTTTCCAACATATCTATTTTTAGAGCAAAAACTGTATGTCTCTGCCATGGTTAATCTATTCCTTACACATATACCCTCTATATACTATACACATATACTCAAATACTATACAAATATAGTATTTTCTTTCCATTATCATAAGCCATAGCAGCAACTTCAAGTTGCCAGTGCAGACTGCCAGCTCTTCTTCAAATCTCCAAATTCTCCATTTGCTAAAACACATACCAGTTTTACTTTACTTTCACTTGTCTTTTTGGGGGAAGGACATTTTTAATACAATCTTCTCTTGTGATTTCTACATTGTATTTGTATCTGTTTACCAACAGCTACTCTTTAAAACTGATGACTCAGCCAGTAATTGTTGGGAAAGGCAAACATCAGCTCAAAGAATTGCAAGCATTACCCTGTATTCATTTTTATAAAATAACACCTTCAGCTCAGACCACATCACAAGTTTATATTCTCACAGAGAAAGATGGGCTAATCCAAGCCATTAGGGAAGTTAAAATTCCCTCCTTTCTTCATGTTGGAGCATCTTGCTGTCTCTTCCTGCCACATGATCCCATAAAATAAAGCTTTCTGCACTACCAGACCTCTCATATGCAGTTTTGTCCCTGATAGTGCTCCCTCATCCAGTATCACTAAGACCACTGAGGGGCATGGGGGTGTTTAAATGTTTGAGCTGCTGGCTGAAGAGCAGGAGTGTTGGTCTTCATCTCTAGTAGGAACAATTGCTCTGTGACTTTCTAAAAATGTATTTTAAGAGTGCCACTTCAAAGACAGAAAAAACCCAAACCTGTATGACTGACTGTACATTTTGAACTGAGTTATGATGTTACTGAACAGACTGCAATACTGCAATTCAACTACCAGTCCCTGTGTGGTGGGGATTTGACAGGGATGAGGCTGCCATGACTTCTCTGGGCAACCTCTTTCAGCAAGTCAACATCACAATAAAGAATTTCTTCCTTATACTGAATGTAAACCAACTCCCACTTTAAAGCCATTCTCCCTTTTTCTACCACTATATGTCCTGGTAAAATACTTGGCTTTGGAGAGCCAAATATATGCAAATAGAAAAGCAATATACTTGGTATATTATCTAATCAAGAACTTTTGTTTTGTAGGTATAAATGCACCAGCATCATTCTGTACAACACTGTATTAAAAATATCACTAAGTATTCAAATAAATAAAACATACATCAAACATAATCAGCTTGGACAGTGAAATTTTGGCATATATTTTTGTCATCTGCAAAGCATAAAATTTCTAGCCTCTGCATCTTGCCATGAAATGCATTTGCCCTGTGCTTTTTGTGTCATAAATTAGTATATTAAAGATTACTATAAAATAAAGGCCGTGGAAACAAATGTGTTATTGCAATTAACCAGCCAATTTATTACAAAATAGTCTGCAACACAGAGAAGTAAAAATCAGCTCTTCAAGACAACTCATTGAAACAAATTAATAATTTTGTACAAAACATAGTTTAATGATTCCTTTATCAAGAAGATAAGAATCATGGAACATAATCAAACAGCCTGTGAATTTACAAAAAAATAAAATCCCTACAAACAAAAACCCAAACAGGAAGGTATTAACAAAACTGTCAGCTCTTTATGTAGGGTATCTAAGAAACAGACACATAAAACTTCTGGGTAACTTGCTTTTGGCCCACTCTAGCAAACGGAACTATAGAGAAGTCACTTAAAGACACAGTGTTTATTTTCAAACCTGGGAAAATTATGAAATAAACCCCAATCAGTTAGTCCAGGATAGCTTTGAAATCTTGACAAAGTGATGGTTCTGTCACTGCCTGCAGTAGTGCCACAGTATCCTCTGGGATCTTCCTGATTAGCTTCCTCTTACCTACCAAAATATCGGAAACAATTAATTACAACTGCAAATAACTATTAATGCTGGTCTAGGGAAAATGCAAATGAAGCAATGAAATCAATACTAGCTAAAACCACCTAAAAAACTGAAACATCTGGAATATGGGGATAAAAAAAGCTATAATAAAATACACTACTCTTCTTCCATACTAAAATCAGGCTAACAAATAAAAATGTTCAAAATTGTACGTGAAAATACTAACAAAGAAAGTAGAATAAATTTGCTCCTTGATTTTCTGGTTTTGTGGGGTTTTTTTTTCAGATTTGAGAACTTCACTGAATTTTGAAAGTAGAAGCCCATTTGTTCAGCAACTTTACCCACCGAATAAGGCCTTCTGTTACTCTGAAAGACGGAATGTCACATCAATAGAAACACAGACAGCAAAAAGGACTTTTTAGAGATTAGGAAGAACATGTAAAATCCTAGCAACTGTTTAAGTCTGTCACTAAACAGAGTCAGCAAAATTGTAAATGATGCAGAAAGCCAGAAGTACTCAATAAACATTTGCCCTGTATCTGGAAAGGAGACAGATGATGTATTTATATCTTATCATGATAAGGAAAGACTCTTGCTCCTTTCCCCACTGGTAATAACAGGAGAGATGTTAAACAATAACTGCGTTTTAAATACTTAACTCTGAAGAATGATAACTCACTACAAGCCCCTGATGTTGATATTTAATAGGTTTGGGAATAGTGGGAAGAACCTCCTTCCCCCAAAACCTATGAGCTTGATTTCTATTCCCATGGGGAGTAATAGAAAGGCATATGCAGGGACACAAGAGAAAATCACATTTATATCAATTCCTGTCAATAACATAATCTTACAGAGGTAATAAGTTTTACACAGCCAATACAAACTCCAAAATGACAACAGAAATTGCAGCTGTAAAGTCAACACACGGGCTTTTACCAGCCTTGTTTATCTCTGTGCTACAGACTCCTGCAGCATGTAGACATACTGAGCAAACTTCACAGGATCCCACCTGAAAGCAGTGACTTCCCTGTCATGACTACTGACATCCACACATGCTACCTGATTTCTAGAAGACAAAACTTAAAATACCATGTTTAGAATTAGCTCTGACATCTCTACATAATGCTTACCTCTCTACCTTCAGTAGACCTTCAGTAACAGAGTAACCTCCTCTGCAAGATGATGTTCTGATTACAGTAACATTGCCCAGGGCTAGCTCTGGTGCAGGGCAAACAAAACTAACTTGTAACTGCATAGAAAACTATCAAGCTTACTGAGTGCCAAGCATCACCTGTCCTGTGAGAATAAGGCTTTAGAAAATGCAGTGCTGGAAAACATTTTAATCTGCCTACTTATAAATTTGAATAAAATCAGAAAGATTGTTAATGTACATCTCAGAGCAACATTTTAGAGTTAGAAATCATCAAAAATCCATTAGTTGCTAAGTTTAATGAACCATAGAAAAAGCTGTAAAAATAGCTGAATACTTACAGACTTTTAAGGACGTAAGCAGACATTTGTAAACAGCTTTGTGATTTAACAGTTTGACAGTGAAGGCATGGTAGC